GATGTTAGTGATAAACATCCTGGAAATGCCCATGCCATTAGCCATTAGTAACTTCCCAAGACCTAGTCTTGCTTAAGTAAGCCAAGGACAGTTTTGTAATTCATGTTAGTAAGGTTATTTGACACTGGGACTTTGTTCAGATAATATCCTCTATTGAGGAAACACTTCAGTAATTGCAGATGAACCTATTAAATTTGTGCATGTGTTCTTCCCTACGCACAGTTCTCATGCTCTTCAGGTCTCTAATTGCTCCCTTATTCAGAGATTTAAAGCATAGTTCTCAAAGTTTAAATAGAGGTTATAAATAGCAGTAACTAAATAAATTTTGTTGCTGTGATGTCCAAACAAAACTAAGATGAATTTCAGAAATGTAAGAGTTATGACACTGACATAGGGAAAGCTGTGTATTTTTATTTCTATGTGGTCACAGATTCACGTGGCAGATTTCATAAGAATTCAAGAAAACCATGTCATTCATTGCTCCCTCTACCCCCCTTTCCAGTGTTCTGGTTGAAAAAAACCCTGATTTTTTATGCTAGAAAAATGCAAAAATTGCCTCGAAACAATGGCATCATCTGAAGACATTCAGACTGCCAAACTTCATTGTACCAAAAACATTCAAAGGTATGAAGAAAATAAGATTTTCATAAAACCTCAGTGCTGCATTTAGTCACAAGCAAGGAAATCCCTGTAAGGAACTGAAAATCCATTCTATATTTAGGATCAGCTTAACAGGATAATGTGGCTACGGTTTACTATTCTTCAGATTGATGGAGTTTTGCATTGTTTCACTGAAAAGGCCAGGCTTCTTCAAGAAGTCTGATCTTGCTACTTTTGCAAATAAGCTGTCTTAAGGTCAAGGAGAACAACTTCCATTTTTTTCTTTTGGTAGTTCATTGTCTTATGCAAGTCTAATACTGTTCTGAGGAGGCCAACACAAACTTGTCTGATTTCCGTGTTTTAAAAAGGTGCCCATACCATTCTGCAAAACAGAGTTGTTAAGCTACAGCCATCTTTTCAGCTTAAATATTTCCCAAGGACTATCTTTTTCTGCATAGTACAATTCATGTTTACAATCCTATAAAAATAATAGAATTACTACAATTGAAAAAGACCTCTAAGATCATTGAGTCCAACTGTTAACCTAGCACTGCCTTGTTCACCATATCCCCCAGTGCCACATCTACATGTCTTTTATATATCTCCAGGGATGGTGATCCCACCACTTCCTTGGGAAGCCAGTTCCAATTCCAATTTAAAATAGTACTTTCTGACTTACTGTAGTATCTTATCTCAAAATCCGATTTGAGGACAAAACTGAGAGCTTCATGGAAAAACAAAATGCAGCAATGCTCTAACCAGATGCAGAACATAAAAGGAACACATCCTAAAAGTTTCAGAATACCCTAGCTGTGCCCTGAGTTTAAACTGATCTCCAGTCTTCCACCTGCAAATAATACAGGAGTTGTTAACTGAAATGCATAACATTTTTTGTGCCAAATTTTCAAAAAGCGTCCACCTCCAACTTCTTTTTTTTTAAAAATGCTAGAATATTGCCATCTGTGAATGTGAAGCTGTGAAAGCATGAATCTGAAACCTGTCATCTGTTCATCAACATGCTGGTAATAAAAAAAAAAATGCAAGTGACAGAAGGTTGGGTTTTGGGGAGGAGGTTGCAGAGGGTGGGGGAGTCATGCATATTTTGCCAGAAGGCAATGAGAAGCTGCACCTAGACCAAACTCGGGCTGCTTCTGCAGGAGCTCTGCACCACTCACGCCTGGCTGGAGAGCATCCCAGCCTTCCCATGGGGACAGCATGTGACAGATCCTTGTCTCTGGGGCTAGAAGCAGACACCTCTGCAATTTCAACACGTCCCAGGGATATTCATTAAAGTAGGAGAGAAATGCTACTCCAGCTAGCTACCCAACACCCAGCACTAACAGCCCAGTATTTGCTCTCAAGCCAACTCTTGATTTTTAAAATCCACTATTTTAAAAATAACTTTTCCCTTGGGAAATTAAATAAATATAATTTATTTCCAAGTGGAAGATAATGTATTATAAAAATATTAATAATTCTGATAAATTTGGCCTGATAGAAACCGTTCTACTTTTTTGTAATTTCTTCTCACTCAGTGAGAAGGCTCTATTCAAAGGCTCTATTATGGAATTGTTCAAGCCATTGCTTGTAATACAGCATATTAATAAATTAATTTTCTCTTCCTAATAGCAGTTTCCATTCCAATTTCCTTTATCTGACTTCTGCATGATTTTTTCAAATGATAAAATGCTCTCTTTCATATAGTTAATTCGTTCATGACTTTTAAAATTCATATTTCACATAAATATGCTGGCAAGTTTGCTCATGTTAGATTGATCCCTTCCCCCTATAGTTTTCAGTTACCCATCTGAGCAGATTCCTTAAATTTCCTTCCCTTTTAGCAGCTTTAATTTAATCCAGACCTTTTGTAAGAGAATTTCTATGAATAGTAATTTCTTCACACATGAGAAAGCCTCCTGATTATACAGGATTATATTAATTATCATTAGCTGCATGCTTCATAGCAATTCTGGCACACGGTTGCAGCACACACCTATAAAAACTCATATTGCAATGTCTCAAAAATTGCTGGAACAACATTTTCTCAGTACTGAATGAGGCCTCGTAAGAACAATAACTGCCTTCAAAGTCCAAACAACCCATAATCTGCTCATCTCCACAATATGTCACAGCTTTTGATCTCCACACAAGCCCTGCTGTTGTATTAGTTCATCTTTCAAAAGGATGCTATTTTTTGACATCTTGACTTCACAATTTTAAAAGGCGAATGAGTAACAGCTTCTCCTAAATTGTCTTAACAGATGCATTGCTTGTAAATTCATGGCTTGTTTTCTAGTTTTGACTTCTAACCCTTAATAATACTTATACAAGGATTAGATAAGTTTTTAGACTCCTAAATCAAGCCCAGAGATGGCCACAAGCACCCTTCGGTGGGTATTTGATCCCCAGAATACCCACACAGCATCTTGCTTGCACCAAAACTCCTTTCTCTTGGTGCAATTTTGCTTCTGATCATTGCATCTACTTTCCTGTAAAAGATGGCAAAAATTGGAAGTAAGAATGAGCAGCCCAATCTGTACATTGTACCTGAGACATAGAAACTACAGTACCCTGAAGAGTGAGGTTTAGGTTCAAAATCTTCCTCAGCCTGAGGAAGTTAAACCTTGGTGTCCCACCTCTCATAAAAATGCCCTTTCACCCTTTCCTGGGCCCAGAAACAAGTGAGGAACAGGAGGGGGCTGGGGATTGTCACCTTTTTCCTTCTTAGAATAGTCAGGGTTGGGTTGTAGTTTCAGAACACGTGAATAGTTACCAGACTCACCATCAGATTGTCCTCCAGGTGTGTTTTAAAAGAAAGCATTTAAACATGGGCTTGGTTCTCTAGCAGATGAACAGTACCGAGTCCAGGATATTCTGGACTCCAAGTCCTGTGTCGGTGGAGACCCATCCAGGCTCCTTACCAACCAGAGATAGTAGAAGATGTCAGACACCATCTGGCCATCAGTGTTTTCTACAATCTTGATAAAACAAAATGCACCCCCTTGTCTGCATCCCATCTGGGGATCATCACTGTCTCTGTGTAGCACTGAGGAAAACCAAACACCTCTCTCTAGGTGCTTGGGGCAGACATCACCCTGGGTGACAGGAGCTGGCTGTGAGCCTTGTGCTGGCTGACCTCTACACCTTCTTCCTTTGGGTACTGCTCACAATCACAGCACAGGCACCTTTTAACCCTTGGGCAAACAGCACAGTGAGCTTTCCTGACATATCGCTATAACACATTTTCTAAAACTGAACACCTGTTTTCTGATCCTGTTTTCTGGAACCTTTCTTACATTACAGCATATATGCCAAAATACTTCATTACAGCCTCTCAGATAATTTGTAAAGCTGTGCTAGCTACCTTACTGCTCTCAGACAATTTGCTTGCATATTTGGGGATTTCTGGTTGCCACAAATACAGTATATTCAAAGATTTAAGCAACCATTTATCACCTCCTTTTTAGGTTGACTTCACACCAATGAAACGCCCATCAGACTTCAAATACCCAGCCTGACCGAAACTTCCACATGAGGCGTAGGGTCATTAACAAGCTGACAACTTTTCAATTCTTGCCAAAGCCAGCTCATGCTAGCTTTTGAATTAGCTCCTCATGCATTCCAGGAGGCTGGTTTGAGAACTGGGATGGCCAGAAGCAGGCAGGGGACCGATACAGCTAAAGAAAGCTCATGAGCCAGTTCAGAAGGTATGTTCCAAGCTCCTCCCCAGGTCTTTTGCCTTTTATTCTCCAATTCAGGTATTACATTTCCACTGGTTTCCACCAGGATTGTGCATGCACCTTGACATGTTCACAGAAGTTCCACGATACAGAGTTTCACAACTGGGACAGGTCCCTACAATCGAGACACCAGGGTGACAAAACAGATTCTGGAGAATTTCCCACTGAATAGGATGGAGAGAACATAATTACCACATCGTAGCACTACAAAGTCTCATAAACATAGAATAGACTAGATCCATTTACCACAAAAATCACAGAAAATAACTTATCAAAGAATATATATTTTATGTAAAATATACATTTGTAGAATATAATTTTAATACAACTTTTATACTTATTGATGTTGGGTTTGCAACACTTTGAATTTAAAAAAACAAAAACAAACAAACCCACGAAATATTCTTGCTGCCAGAATTTTATTTCTGATAATACTTATAGTTTGAGGTAACAATGAAAGAAGACTGTGTGCTGTGAACAAAGTCAGTGATGTTTATCTGCAGTCACATTTTTGTTATCAAAGTGAAAAGTAAACTTAGGACTTGGCATGTACACTAGAATTCATAACATTTTAGGTCATGGCAAACTGAGAAAGCAAGGACTTATGCAAACCTACTCTGTTAAAAATTGTGACTTTTGCAATATATGCCATTAGTATGACAGAAGTCAAGACAGATGTAGTTTACATCACTATCATTATTAAGCGTGTGTCTTTGTATGATCCACAGCACAGCTTACTGCAGGAACCAGGAATAATAAACACAGGGGTGTGGGTCTTTGCATGGAGCCTTAGCAATGATGACATGAATTCAGCTTTCCTTGATATATATAAAAACTGATATTCCATGCACACACGTTTTATTTACACTGACTCATCAACAGTGACTAGTCACCCCTTCCTCTGGCAGCAGTAATTACGAGCGGTCTTTCATCTTCTTTAACAAGCTCTGCTTCGCACGCAAAGTCTCAGTGACCTCCTCAAGGTGTGAGTCGTTTATCAGGGTCCATTCAGCAGCAGCAGTCTCTTTCCAGTACAGTCCTTGGTATGGCTAAATTCCATTGTCCCTTTTTCAGCAGTCAAAAATCCATGATAAATTCTGTACAACACTGTAGTTAATATAACAGCAGCACCAGATATTATATTAATTCATTTGCTAAAAGCTGTTTGCAATTATCTCTCTATTGACAGTATTTTACCAAAAGTAAATCAATGTACATCTCTAAATATCAGAAATGTATACTTTGATAAATACATTATTGTACAAGAATTCTGACATGCAGGTCATGCTATTGGGCTTGGCTATATACAGAGCATGTTACACGGTCAACAATAAATTTAATTTATATTCCTAACAAAAAAATAAAACATGACAGTCAGGTATTATTCAACAATTTCAAGGATCACTTAAGATTTCAGTCATTATGGTCTTCCCCGTGTAGTTCTAAAGCTCTACAGTTTAAGGGTAATTTTTCCTCACCAGCCCAGAACCTCAAATTTGCCATTGCATTTGTCCTGTTGCATAAACAGAGGTTAATGTTGAATGAAAAAGCCACTAGAGGAGATACAGTTTCAAAATTGTAATGAATGCTGGTTGCTAGGAGGAAGATTGATGCAATAGGCAACCGGTCAGTGCTGAAAAGCTGCTCGAAAAATCTTAGGAGTGCACACGAGTTAGTCTAGATGATACTAACTGCACTTGAAAAATATGTAAATTTCTATCTATACACAGATGTATAGTCCATATGAGAAAAAAAAAAAAAAAAAGAAAGAGAAGAGGAGAAAAAGTTCAACTTAAAAGAGGAGGGCATTTTAACAGTATCTCTGTGCTTTATGGAGACAGATGGAGAATACAAGGAGACAGGTTACAAAACAGACAGACAAACAACATAAAGGACAAAGCACCTCAAAAAACATTGAAGTAATTTTTGAAGCCCGTGATCCAGAGGTATAAGGCTGGTCAAAAACCCAACTTGAGAACTACTACCCTCTTACAATGGTAAAAAAAAGCCCCCAATAGTTGTTTCAATTTTACTTGGTACTCAGCTTCTGAAAATGTTGAAGAACCCTGGAGTAGAGAAAATACTACAGTACCAAGCAGCACTTGCTAGCTTAAAATTGCAAGTCTGGATGGCGTTTACCTTTCTTGCATGTTTTGTGCCTTCCCCAAGCCATTAAGAAAGAGATCTGGCTTCTGCTTGCGTGTAACCAGTAATGACAACCTCTTTGCAGTTATCTGTGTGCAAACAACCGAAGACATTCAGAACTCTGATGCAGCAATCCAGTACCGAAATAAGTCAATCACAAAATAAAGTCGTTTATAAACAAGTAGATAGTTAAAAAAAAATAAAGGAAAAGGTTAAACAAAGAAAAACAATCCCACATGCAGACCAGTTTATCAGTGCTTTCATTTCAGCAGGATGGTAACAATGTGAGAACACACATCCGGAGCCCTCTGTGGTCTCCACGATCGGCAACACTGCTTGTCAGGTGATGGAGACAGGATGGTCCATGCAAATGAGCAGACCCTTCAGAGCAGACATCTTCAGAATGGATTAGAGTCACAAGAAATGGAGATTCAATGGAGTGACTGATAATTACTTGGAAGCACATTATTTTAAGTAAATCTCCCTGAAAATATGCTTATTTATTGAATATACTGGACAACAGCATCCACTAACTGTCCTTTTATTGCCACAGGAAAGTAGGACAATATAGTAGACAAAAGGAGAAATGCTACCTCAAGTAATCTTTAAAAGCCAGACAAAAATCTTCAGCTACCCAGGTGGCTTTTCTTACTACTGACAGTTGTATCATGCAGGAGTCAGACCATATTTGTGGAGCCTATGCTTAATGCTACATTTATTTCCAATATGTGGCAAACAGTATTTGATTTAATACTATGTAGCCGATTGACGCCATCTGGTTTACAAGATGGAAGGGATGGGAGACCGAGAGCGCCTTAGAGGACAAGGTGAGCTGTAGGGTGATGTTACTGGAGACAGTCGCAGAGCATTGCCTGTCAAGCCAGCTATGTTGTTTAAGCTTCGAGATTTTTCATAGCCTTGTATGAGAAAATGCAGACATCAGTTGAATTCAGCCAAAAAATAGACAAAGACAAACAGTACAATGTAATGTAATCCAAAGAGCTATCAGAGACTCAGAGGGAATCTGCCTGCAAAAGAACTCAGTGCTGAGACACATTACTATCAAAAGATATTAATAAATAAAATTATTTACAAATTAATGCACCTACTTTTTCCCCCAAAAAATTGAACAGACCACCACACAAGAGGTCTGAACTGCTCTTCCACATCCCATCTTGCATTTAGTATCACCCAGTGGGCTTCAGCAGGGTTTCAGAGACAACAAGATAAAGGATCCCACCAGAGTGACTGAGCTATCTGGCTAAGCATAACCAAAAACCCATTAAGACAGACTATAGACACTGTTAGAATTACATCATCTCTGCTAAATTCAATTCCTAATAAAGTGCAATTTTTTTTCTTTAAAATAAATAAACCACAAAACAGATAAATTTTATACAGTATGTGTAAATCCATTTTGCAGAGGACTGAATGATAAGAAGCTTTCACTTCAAAAATATTAACCCGTAGGCTTTGCTTCTAATTTTGAAGTCTAGTAAGACAGCGGAATTTGATGTATTTGTAAATGCCTCCTGAATGGCAAACTTAAAACATTGAATTTATGCTTCTTTACCAGATGATTTGAACAAAATCAATGGTATTAATCCATATAAGCAAGTAGTAAGTAATTAATCATTAAATGAGGCAACCACATAATGCTTCACAATTTGAAGGGAACATTGCACTTGCAGACATTTCTGTTCACATACACTGTGAGCTCTAGCTACCTACTTTTTGCTGCTGTGGATTTTCTTCACTTTGTAGAGATTATGCTGTAAACCAACAAAAAAACACTGCTAGTCACTGTGTCACTACCTTCATATTCAAGTATTTTCAGCAGCTGCTGAATAACCCCATTTGTTAAGAAAAGGATCTGTTCATTGGCCTGAAGGTATCAGCAAGGAAATACAACAAAGATTAAGACAGGCAGGACTTTGCTTGTGAAGTACCTGGGTACAATGCTTCAGTGCAAGCATGAGAAGTCTCACTGACTTCGGTGGCACTACTTATTTCCTTGAAGACAAGTATGCATTTAAGCATTTGTCAGGTTAAGATGTTCAGGTCTAAATTGCTTACAAGAAAACAATGAGACTTTTTCCCACAGAAACTTTAAAATACTAATGACAATAAAAGTCAACACCACACGGAATGTCAGCAAACTTTTTTTTCCTGATTGAAATGGTTATTGGCTCAAATTTCAGATCTCTAGGTAACAGACAGTTAACGGCATCTTTAGGAAAACTCATAACTTAGGCTCTTCCCCTTATGACAATTAATGTATTCCTTACCTACTGAGCCCATGCATGCTGTAAAACTATACTTAAAGCAAATGTATAACCTCATGTCTGCTAAAACATTGTGCAATGTTCTCTCCAGATGGCAAGGGCAGGCTAGACTGTGATACTACACAGAATTCTGACACATTTCTGAAACAGCCTCCAGTTTCTGAGTTTCTATCAGAATTTACACAGACTAGAAAGAATTATTTTTGAAAAGGGAATTAAAGAGGAGCACAATGCTAGTGTATATATTTAAACTCCCTGTAAACATAAAACTTATTAAAAAAATAAAATAATCAGGTAGCTTTTTAACATAGAAACTAGGAAAGCAGTTTTTAAGATTATTTTCTAGCTACTCTTCTAGTTATAAAAGGAAAGAACTGATAGAGGAAGGTGGTAAAGATTGTAAATAAAGTAGAAATTCCTAAAAAATAAAAACCAGATACACAAGATGAATGGTGAGAGATGCATGATCCAAAATCTGTACTTTTTAGGTATTTTAGTGGATCAGCTCTGAATAAGTATCATCTTGGAGATGGAGATACAAAAAAACTCAGAATAAACAACAATTGAACACAACCAAGGAACAAACCAAACAAGAAGAATATACCAAAATTAAAAAAAAAAAAAAAAGAAAGAAAGAAAAGGAAAACAATAAAATGTAAAAGTAGTAGACTTGATGTGTGAATGACATTCAAGCATTCAAACCCATTTGTATATTACTTGAAGAAATTTTCTGCTTAAGGGCTAACTTCCCTACTCTGTATAAAAAACACTCCAAAAACAGCAGCTAAAACATTTCAGCCTCAGTTTATCATCAGAGCCAGACAAAGAGCACATTTCTCATCAAAAAACTGTCCATTCTTAAATCAAGCCCCAGTTTTCTAGTAAAAACTACAAAACCAGTTTCTTTTAAATCTAGACTTACAAATTAAAATGATCCAAGATAAAATAGGTTTTACTGTTATATAAATATGTCTTTTAGTAGCTGATGGGTAGCTTCTTTTATTATTTCTGACCTGCTCCAGTCATGATTGCTGCCACAACTTGCTGAGTGAAGTCACAAACCTGATCATGCAAGATGCCATGGCAATCTACCTCCCTGACCTCCCCAGGGACTCCTACCATTAGAGATATTTTAAATAATCCTAGCTGTTGAGAAGACAGTGAAATATACACTCAGTGGAAAATGTACTAAATGTGTGCAAAAACATGCTTGCAATGATTTTTCATTTAAACTAAAAATTATATATAGGAGTACATAAAATGCCTGAGCATAGAGAGCCATACTCTTTGCAAATGCCATACACATGGAACTGGTTGCATATCTGCCTTCACAGGTTTAACCTACTGAGCTCATGCTTTGAAGTGTAAAAAGAGCATTTGCAGAACAACCAAGAGAATTCCTTTAGATATACGGCTGGCTGGGACAGCTATGTTTGCTATACACCAAGCAATTAAAAAAAAAAAATTTAAAAGAGCCAGAAAAATCTCAGGCAAAAACGTTTGTCCAGTGCCACACAGCTGCTTAAGATGGACTCTGATGTGAACAACTACACTTCAGCACTCAGGAATGCAAAATCTGTCAGAATGATACAGTGTCAGAAGAATATAATTTTCCAACAAACAAAAGCAGTTCCTATCTAAGGAAATGGGAAGACTACTACTGGCCTGCTGATCTTAGGACTATGTCCTAAAGTTTGGTTTGCAGCCACAGCCAGATGAGGCCTGCAAGGGTAGAAACAATCAGTCATGTGGGAGATACAAGTATAAAACAGTTTTTCAAACTCCATCTGGGCACTCCCATCCTACTGACCAGCAAGGAATCAGATTTGAAGAGACTAAATCATTAGAAAGGCATTTTTAACACCTTGCAAGGTAAAGCATTGCTTTACTACATAGCTGAATTATGGCTGTGGTAGACAGTCATCTTTCAATATCAGTGGTATACTGCCAAGAAAAAAAAAATGGCATTATAAGCTCAAAATTTTATTTGAAAGAAATCTAAATAGCATCTCAGGATATGCTTTTTTGTGTTCAGGACAAAAATGTTGCTTACTTCTGACATGTTAACCTTTAAAGTGTATTCAGCCATAAATTTATTAAGTAATTAAGAGCAGACCACAGTTATAACATGATTAATTTTAGAATGACAAGTTATATTGAGTGATGAGTGGTTGAATGAGCAATGTCTGAATTGCAGGCTTTTCCATTAGAGATTACAGAAAAATGAAGACACAAGTGAAATGAGGGTCCAACATCAAGCACATTTTTTGAAGACTAAAGGGGATGAGTGTTTCTAAAAGGAAAAGAATGACTGGGAGTAAAGAAAAAAAGATACATAGTGAGTACAGTCTTTCCTCTTAGAGCATTGTGCACATCATTTTACTCTAAGGTTGTTTTTCACAAGCACATTGCTGAGTAACCTTTTATGATCTAATGAAAGAAGTCCATACCTTTCCTGATCCCTCCATCAGTAGCACACGTGTAATCACCTGTTGTCAGTAGGAAACATGTTCCCCCTCTTCTGTTTTTGTCTCTTGTACTAGAACGTCTGATGGGAGGGAGCCTTTCACCAGGTGAGAGTGGCTGCTCACTTCCTGCACTGTCTTCACCTGATAACACTGGTTAAAGCACCATGCCCATTTACAGACAATAATGAATGAGGAAATGAGACATCACAAAGAGCTTATGCTGAATGCCAGATATTCCCATCACTCAAAAAGTAGATATAAAGTAAATCATTAGGAGAAAACAAGATTGCAATTCATCATTAATCAGTACGAAATGGCAAAAGATGTAAGTTTTTTTCAAGAACAAATGATCTTTCGAATTCCCTATTCCTCTTCTAAAATTTGTATAAAATTAGATTAAACTAACGTGAACTAAAAAATAATCAAACCAAGGCTCAGTTAGTCACTTTCTCTGGACTGTAACTTGTCAGAGAATACAGTCAGCCTTGCATATTTTAAACACTTATTTACTATTCTGGCTATTGGTTTTGCTAAACAATGTTAGGCATTTTTGTCTAGAATATATTGTTTAATGTTTTAAAGACAAGCCCTCACCCAGAAGGGCTATATTTTCAACATTTGGCACTACACACTATTTAATAACACACTTAGCTTTCATTTCCATATTTATTACACTTGCACTGCTTGTCATCATAAGTACCCAACATTAAAGGCTGTCGTGGTCTCTATTCTTTATTTTGTCAAACAGCAAAACTTGTACCTCTCCTGATTTGTCACTCCCAAAGGATTCTCTTTTTAAATTATCTACAGTTTCAAATTCAGGCCACACTTCAAGAAAAAAAAAAAATCTTTTCTCAGTACAGCACATAACTTCAGCTTTACCTTTGCATTTAAACCTGAGCATGTTTTTTTCCTGAACTGGGAATGCAAAGGGCAGAATTCAGTCTTGAAGTTTTGTACATAATTCATAGTGACTCTAATAACATTCTCCACCAGAAATAAAGCTACAGTGCATGATGTGAGTGGTGGCACTACTAAAAAGAAAGATAACACTTTAAAATGGCTCCTTCTTGCATGCCTGCTTTCTCTCTAACTTCAAGGATTATAACCTCTTGTAAATAAAGCTGTAGACACAAAAGAAGTGTCTCTTAGTGAGAGACATAGTGATCACACTGAGCCTTCTCCAGTCACAATACCTTTGGCAGGACCTGATGGCATGAAAAAGCTGTTATCATTAACACTTTAAAGATGTTATCTCAAAATTAGTATCAGTCAAACCACTGAAAAACTATATTTTACTGTCAGTCTGAGGCTTTTCAAGCATTTCCGTCCTTTTAAATATATTTAGGATGCTCAAAAAACTGTTAATTTTGTGAACAGTAACTCGGAGACTGAAACCGAGCTTCTTTGAATAGAAATGCTATTCAGTAACAGAGCAAGAGACCCAAGAAGGATATCGTTCAGAGACTGACTCTCCAGGCTCTTCTTTTTAAAAACTATATTTCAATTACTGAATTACACCAGTCCTGAGTGGTTTTACTCTTATTATTCTTTAGCAACTTTACAGCTGGAGTCTCTTGACCGGTATGTGAGCTTTTAAAACAGATTGTGTTTGGCTTAGGAATAAATACTCTTAAGAAACAAACAAACAGAAAAATCTTGTAGCTAAACTATTTAATTATACTGAGAGGTGAAATTTACTCTTTAATTGCAACAGATTTGGGATATGGAGCAGTGGCTTGGAGGGACTGAGGCTGTCATTTGATATGCAATTTCACTGAGTAAAGCACAAAATACTCCTTATTCATAATCTGGAACTCTAACAAATAAGGTAATAGAAATCACAAAAATCAACTGTAATAGCGATGATGGTGCTAAGGGCTGTCATTTTCTTTTTTCTTGACAAGATTTACATCAGCTATGCTAGTATAATTTAATGAATAGTAAATATCATGCAATGTCTCATCTAACACAGATGAAGGAGATTTTTTTAGCCAGGGAAGCAGAATGCCAAATGGAAAGAAAACAAGAAAGAAAATTTCTTCCTATTTCCTTTGAGTGCTGGGCTTTGGATGTAAAGCACCTGCTCCTTTTAAATGACTGCTTCTTTGTAGGATCTTGCTTAACAGGCCACGATGTGGCACAGGCAAAGCTGACACAAGAGACAGACACTGAGGCAAAACACCATGGAGTCCAACAGGGTGGGACACGGTGGCTGCTCAAATAGTCACAGTCATGCAGAAAAACAAGAAACATCCATACAACGCAACAAACAACAGGCAAAAGAAAAGGTTGATATCATCAGCAGGAAAGCATTCTCAACAGAGCAAGCAAAACTGTATAGACCAGCTACATAGAGGTTTGGGAACATCACTATACCTATTTTGTCCTCTATGAGACTGACACACGCAAATGTTGGAGGGGAGAAGGGTGGGAGCTACGTCTTCTCCTGGCAGAAAGACTGGCTGCTTTCTGACCCCTACCAAACATACTGGTCTATAAAGTGTTTTCAGAGGACATGCATTTCCAGTGGGGTCCTACCTGATGATCTGTTGTGTTCCATCAGCTGGTTGTCCTTGCCCAGGCAGATGTCACCCTGTGTGCTATTGCAGGCCATGTTCAAGTCTGTCTTGCAGAAGGTGGGTGAGCTGGCTTGAGGAGCAGGAGGGATGTGCTTCTTTCGCTTCCTTGGCAGTTTCTGCTTTGCCATGGCCAGGGAGTAATACATCCCAAAATTGTTAACTATCACAGGCACGGGCATGGCGATGGTGAGCACTCCCGCCAGTGCACACAGGGCTCCCACCAGCATGCCTGACCAAGTCCGTGGATACATATCCCCATACCCCAGGGTGGTCATGGTGACTACAGCCCACCAGAAGCCGATAGGGATGTTTTTGAACTGTGTGTGTTCACTCGCTGACGGGTCATTGGGCTGGGCTCCCACTCGCTCTGCGTAGTAGATCATAGTGGCAAATATCAAAACACCGAGTGCCAGGAATATTATCAGCAGCAGAAATTCATTGGTGCTGGCTCGCAGAGTGTGGCCCAGCACCCTGAGGCCCACGAAGTGCCGGGTAAGCTTGAAAATCCGGAGGATCCTGACGAACCTTACCACCCTGAGGAAACCAAGCACGTCCTTAGCAGCTTTGGAGGAGAGCCCACTCAGGCCCACTTCTAGGTAAAAGGGCAGGATGGCCACAAAGTCAATGATATTCAAGAGGTTTTTGATGAATTCAAGTTTGTTGGGAGAAAAAATAACTCGTACTAAAAATTCAAATGTAAACCATACCACGCAGACACCTTCCACGTACGTCAGTGCAGGATCTGTCTCGATCTCATACTGTAACACAGCTTCTGTCCCGTTGAGGACCTGCTCAGTTTTGTTTATAATAGTATTGAAAGCCTCGTGTGTTTCCAGGCAGAAGGTTGTGATTGAAACTAAGATGAAGAATAAAGAGGCAAAAGCGATGAACTGAAACACAAAGAGATAAAAGAGACATCAGAACCACACAGCTCTTCATATTAATACAAATGATGTCTGCATTTATAGCAAAACTTTTACTCATTCCCCCCCAAATGGCTGGCAAATTCATACACATAAAAATATCCATCAAGGCCAGAGGAGAGCAGCAGACAGCTCTCACACTCTCAGGAGCCCAGGAGCAGGAAAAGTCTTGACAATGGATGTCATGACAAAACGCAACTCATTAGGAAAGTGGCAACAAAATCTTTAATCTCTGCTGAATTGTCTGAATTTTATTCAGTTGTCAAGGTTCCTTGCAAGCAGTCCCTGTACACACCAACCACAGCAATACTTAAAGATGTCCAGCTCTCACACAGTGGAAAATGTGGGCTTGAGATTATGGTTCAGAATTCACACCTGTCTTGAAGAGCATCTCAGAGGGATCTAGGAGCAGATCCACACTCTGGTTTTCCTTTATATTTTCAATGATTTACAAATACAGGATATTTAATGATAGAAAACACCTTCTGTGTTACAGGTAGAGTTAGCTGCATAGCCTAATACGTTTGGAGTCATCCATCACTGATTCTCTTGGGTAGCACTAAAAGTAAACCTTGCAGAGCCTCGCACACTGTGGTGGCAGAGCTTTCCCACAGTCTTAGGATCCACAATCCTGCTAACCAGATTTTAAAAAAAAGGGAAATACAAATTCAATTCTAATAGAGGCACATGAATTGATAAAATACAGGTAAATAACCTGGAAACAGCCATCACAGATGATTGTTTAGGGCTTAAAAAGCATATATTGTCTGATCTTCAACTCAGCCATCACAGTCAAGAATTGAATAACAGAGAACATCCAGGACAGGATCTCAAAAGTTAACTGAGCCAAACAGCTAGAGCAGGAGATAGATTTTCTTACACTGAGGAATATACACCAAATGAAAAGGTGTTCTGAGGTCAGTTGCTCCTTTGCTACAATGATTAAATTCTTTCAATGACATTGCAACTGTATTAGCTAGCACTCAAAGAGCGGTGGTGTGGTACATAAATAACAATATTTTTTTATTTTGAATTTGCATCTTAATAAACATTTTATAGCCAATATTATCCTGAGGGGAAAAAAAAAAGCCTTCTGGAGACATGAAGATTTTTAAAAGTGTTAGGGGCCTAACAAGGCAAAAAGATGCCTAAACAGTTAAAAAATATCTAGTATTTAGTTACCACACCGAACTCTTGAATGTCATTGGAAAAAATCTAGTTGCAAGACAGATAAAATAACAGCCATAAGCAGGAATGCCTCTTTAATCCAGGATACAGCATTGTGGCAAAACTGATTTTATGTATTATGGATATCAATGACTGGATTTAGCATTAGCATTCAGATTCAGTGTTAAGTGCTGCAGGAACTCATTTGGGCTCGTACAATACTGAATGCTTGTATTTTCTGACACAGAATACTGGTTAGGCAACAAAATATTGTCTCTACAACCTGTAGAGAGAACTCCTTTTATTCTGGAAACAAGCTTGAATTTGCAGTGCAGGTCTGGCAAATTTATTACATTCAGATTCATGAGCTGAATCTATGAAAAATCTCATATAACTACCTATACCAAATATTTGCAGGTTATTTATGGTTTCCTTTCCTCAATCAAGGAAAAAAAAGTTATTACACCATGCCCTACAATGGCAAACACTCTAAATCTGTTACCTTTCAAAAAGTACTGACTCAGAGACTGAACTGAACACTTATCATCCAGTCTGGACTCCTAGCCACAAGCTAAGCAAACAATCTTACACTGTCTGATTTTTACTGAACAGGCTTTTCTGCCTTTGCCTTAACTACAAAATTGCTGCATGTTCATAGCTCACAGCACCTGACACCAACAAACACAAAAGAACCTCAATCTTGTGTGAGACAACTAGAGTCAGCAAATACAACCAGATTTATACAACCTAAGTGAATTAATCTCAGCAGATCTTTGCAAAACTTCTCCACAAGAGGGATAGAGAATGTATCAGATTCTAAGCCACTGGGGGCCCAAGAATGACCCTTGGGTGTCTCCTAAAGCATCCTCCAGAATCCTTCTATACAGTCAAGGATGGAAAAAGCAAACAAATCTTTGGAGGCTGAGTCACTGAAGCTAAGTCAGCACTGTAGTTTGTCATTTGGGAGGGAACTTTTGACAGAAAAATATTGGGCAACCTCTTCAGCAGCAACACTAGTGATTTCAGACAGCTGTGAATTTTTTTCTGAAAATAAAATAAAGCTACATTCAGCCTAACCAAAGTAAAACTTACCAACAACTAAATAATTTACCAACAACTCAGATATATTAAGGACTAACTGTGCATTCAACAGTGCAGTGAACCTAAAAGTATGTAAATAATTACCACTGTTTTCTGGACTGTATTTCAGAGTCCATTCAGGTTCAGAACCTTTCTTAAAAAAATGCCAAATACCAAGAGAGTAACTATGGGTAGAACTGCCTGACAAGCTATTTATTACTGTTTTGCTTAACACTGACACTGCATTGACATTGCACTTGGCAAGGCAGATTGAAGCTTTTAGTTATGCACCTACATTCAGTGTTTTATTATCCCTAAAGGAAAAAGACATTGTTCAAAATCTATCCTAAAGACAGTCATCTTCCAGAGGTCAGAACAAAGACAAGAAAACACTATCAATCTGGTGACAGATTTCTTGATCAATAGACCAAGCCTGCAATAAGTATTCATAGAAATGTAAAACAATAAGATGTACACATTTTGCCATGCACATGCATAGCATCACTAATTTTGAGCAAAGATACACATTCCTTTTATCTCTCACTGCATTTGGATTTAAACTGCCAGCTCCTTGGATCAGGACAGAGCTTGCAAAGCAGCTAGCAGGACAAAGCAATGGTATTGCAATATTCAGAAGATTCAGAGAACATGCAAGAAGCAAATGCAAAGACCAATGCAAGCAGGAACATTTTATCAGTCAAACAAAAAATGCTTAGGGATTAACCTCACATTAACAAAGATGCTTCCTTAGTATTATGTTACATAATGCCAGGCAATGTGTTGAAAAGTCTCTAGCATGTTTTTCATATACATCTGTAATGACAGAAACGAAATGAAATCATGTGCTATCTGCTTTTTATGCTTTCCTTCTCCTTTATCCTAATTCCAGCTTCTCTAAAGTAATTAGCCTCTAAAAATACATCAATTTTTGTCATGTGGGCAAGCACCACATTTCAGAAAAAGATGGTACAGATTTGAACTCACGGATTCTCTGGTGGATGTGACCAACCAAGTTCTATTCCTCAGTCCTGCAATAGTTCCTCAGTCGACAATAACCAGGGTAGCACACACAACTTTTTGTTTGTTTCCTTTTTCCTTTTATGAAGCACAAAAATCTAAAAGGAGTTAGCCTGATTGTTATTTCAGAAAGCTTACAGCAAGAGACAATTGTCTGTCTGAATTATTAGCAACCTTTCACTGTGAGAAGTTCTGAAAACTTTAGTTTTGACTAGTTTCAAGACAACTTCAGCCTTGAAAAGAGGAAAACAGCCTATTCGCCCCCTATTTTAAACCAAAGACTGCAGCCTTAACACAATTTTGAGAATCTTCAAAAAAAGCTGAAGAAAAATTTTCAAATAATATCTAAGTAATCATGATCTTTTCCTCATTTCTTAAAAAGGGCTTGGTTTTTAAGTAATTGCTTCTTGTTTGCTTCGATGGATGTGATAAAATTAACTTTCTTCATTTAGGTTTTCTTTTTTCCTCCTGAAGGAACCATTTTTCTAAGTGACAGAACACTTGTAGACACACTCTGGGGCCACCATTTTCAAAACTGAAATTAACACAAACTGAACTAATAAAAAAATCGGTCCATTTTTGCCAGTTAAGTTACAAAAATATTCAGTATGTAATACACAGGATGTAGAGCATTCTCCATTAAGCAGTTAAAGCTCTCAGTAGGCTGCTGATTCCCTCTGCTCACAGTTTGAAGGCAGTGTGCACCCAATTCTGTTCTTGTGTGTCAGCATCACATGTTCAGACAGTAGAGATTCCATCTCTCAGCTTGTCTAGCTGACAGGATCACCAGCCAAGCTGTGTTGCTAAATTCTACTAATGTCCACAATAAGTGGATTATTCACCTATAATGACTTTCAATGAAGCACATAAATCTAGAGTGTGAGGGGCCTGCCAATAACTTGTTGAAAGTACAAAACTTTATGATTCGTACTTTTAAATCAGTGTCTCATAGGGGACTCAGCAGCTCAGAGTTTAAAGCAATTTCAAAACTGACAACCAACTCTAGAACACCAAATTGAGCACTCTACGGATTAGCAGAACTTTTATGAGTCCAAAGTCATGTTTTACCTTGCACATAGCTCCTTAAGTGCCTTGAAAATTAAGGTCACTAAAAATTGTGGTTGCAAATGACATGACAACAGCCTTATCTCATAGACCATGTCTGGATTTCACAGCAGGAAAAGGCACAAGGTCAGAGGATGCTGTGGCTCACACCTGACCCACACACATTTCCTTTCCAAGCAAACCCAGACATGGGACTGGCCGTTGTCCTGGGATGGAGGCAGGGACTTACTGAGCCATTCTAAAGCTCAACAGCTTAGACAGAGCCTGAACAAAGCAAGAGTGGAGCTAGAAATTGACCCTCACACTCAGGTGTATTATATATATTCACCAAATCAGACTGAGCCTACTCCATATTTCAAATAAGTTTCTTTTGTCCATCTCATGCCCTTAAATAGGTTATTTCTACACAATCACTTAGTTTTCCAAGATGGAGAGGTCATAGTCCATGAAGAGGCTAATGCACAATGAAGTGTGTTAATAGTCACAGTCATCCTTCTTGCTTCACATTAAAGTTTGGAATAAAATCTCTCACCATATTTCAGTGTTTTCCTATAAAAAGTTTGCATCTTGTCTGGATACAACTTGTTCTGGGTTGGATCTCAACACCTCCTCTTTCAACTCCCCTCACTGTGTAATGG